CATTAGTGAATGCTTCGAAAATTATTGGTGCCAAATTCACCAGTAAAACTCCAACCACTCTAACAACTGAGATTAATGGAACTTTGGAGAATTATCAACTTTTACATATTTTTGAGTTCACTTCTGATAGAAAACGTATGAGTGTTATTATACGTGATAATCAAACTTCCTCAATTAAAATTATTACAAAAGGTGCCGATGAAGTTATTTTTAAATTATTAGAAAATTATAACAATAGTATTAATAATAATAACAATAGTAATATTATTAATAATAATAATAATAATAATAATAATAATAATAATAATAATAATAATAATAATAATAATAATAATAATAATAATAATAATAATAATAATAATAATAATAATAATAATAATAATAATAATAATAATAATAATAATAATAATAATAATAATAATAATAATAATAACAATAATAATAATAATAATGGACTATTAAATTTATATTCAAAACAAATCGATGAATTTGCAAGCCATGGATTGAGAACACTATGTTTAGCACAACGTATCATACAAAAAGAAGACTATGAGAGATGGTATCAATCACATTTTCAAAAAGCAACAACAGCTATTCAAGACAGATCAATGCTATTGAATGAAGCCTATGAACTTTTGGAAAGAGATTTGCTTTTACTTGGTATTACTGCCATTGAAGATAAATTACAAGAGGATGTACCACGTACAATCGAATGTTTAAGACAAGCTCAAATTAAAATTTGGATGCTAACTGGTGATAAATATTCAACCGCTATTCAAATTGCAAACTCTTGTAATTTAATTGAAACCGGAACAACAACAATAGGTCAAAATAATATTGTTGATAAATTAAGCTCTAATGTTGGTAGATTATATACAATTGGTAAGAGTATTGATGATAATAGTAATGCAGGTGCAGCATATGATATAAGTACATTAGATGTTCAAATGTCCGTTGAAGGATTATTAAAGTATGTTGGTTCGTTGCCATTGTCACAACAATTAACCTCCAGTATCATTGTTGAAGGACATGTTCTATCGTTGGTGTTAATGTTTGCACAATCCGATTTCTTAAAGTTATCACAATTGGTTGGATCATTGATTTGTTGTAGAGTTACACCAAGCCAGAAGGCACAAGTTGTAAAGATGATTAAAGACACTGGTAGAATCACATTGGCAATTGGTGATGGTGGTAATGATGTCTCAATGATTCAAGAGGCAAACGTTGGTGTTGGTATAAGTGGTAGAGAGGGTTTACAGGCATCTCGTGCCGCCGATTACTCTTTGGCCAGATTTAAATATCTTCAAGAGTTGATATTGGTACATGGTCGTTACTCTTATTTGAGAACTTCATTCGCTGCCAATTATAGTTTCTACAAATCGATGTTCCTTTGTTTCATTCAAATTCTCTACCAGTTTTTTAGTGGTTTCGCAGGTACAAGCTTTTTCAATACATTTTCACTCACTTCCTACAATATCCTCTTCACTGGACTACCAGTAGTTGGTTTCATATTCGATAAGGATTTACCAGAGTCAATCATACGTCGTAATCCATATCTCTATAGTGTGGGTCAAGATGGCACCGCCTTCAATGCAAGAGTAATCTCGCAATGGATCATTAGAGCTTTGACTCAATCGATTTTCGTTTTCACTTTCACTTTGGTTCCTTATGTTTTCTCTGGTGACAGTGGATGTTCTATCGATTACAATTCTATCAGTATGATCTCATTCACCTCTATCATCTTTATTCAAGCTCTCACTCTCTTCTTTGAGTCTCATACAATCACTTGGATCAATCATCTATTAATTTGGGGTACAATCCCAATCTATTTCATTTGTCTTGTGGTTTTAAATGCTATACCATCACTTGATACCTATTCGGTTATAACTCATCTAGTTGAAAGTGGATCGGTTTGGTTCTCAATCGTAATTATGACCTTACTTGCTATTGTACCTATCATTACCATTCAATATCTCTTTTTGCTCTATAAACCATCCATAAATGAGATCATTCATCAAATTAGAAATTCAAAATCTAAAAATTATAGGCAATTAATTAATGAAAATGGTTCATTTCAAAAGAATAATAATAATAATAATAATAATAATAATAATAATAATAATAATAATAATAATAATAATAATAATAATAATAATAATAATAATAATAATAATAATAATAATAATAATAATAATAATAATAATAATAATATCGATAGTAATAATTACTATTATAATTCAACACCATCAAATGCAATTCATATTGGTAATGGCAATAGTGGTAGACATGATCACTCTAATTTTAATGGAAGTGTTGGCAGTGCTGGTAGTGTTGGCCTCTCCAATAACTCTAGAGAGAGCACTTTTAAGTATCAAATAAGTAAAAAGAATCCATTATTAAGATCAAGATCAACCTCAAATCAAAAAAATAAAAATCAACAAAACAATACACTATCATCCTCTAATAGAGTGGTGGATTTAATCGTTGGTGCAAGAGAAGATGAAGAATTGGAAAATAAAAAACTTTATGATCTTAAACAACCTAAAAAACCTCAAATGGTTATAGAAATTATTCATAATGACAATATTAGTAACAATAACGATAATATTAACAATATTAGTGATAATGCTGTTAATGACAATGCCAACAATAATAATAATAATAATAATAATAATAATAATAATAATAATAATAATAATAATAATAATAATAATAATAATAATAATAATAATAATAATAATAATAATAGTAATAATAATGTTATTATTTTGAATAATAGTTCCCCTAGTGTCGATAATGAATATAAACCACTCCTTAGTTAGAAGATGGTAATTTATTGATAAAAAATTTAATAAAAAAAATAAAAAAAAAGTCCTTGGGTATATTTATTTAATGAAAAAAAAAACAAAGCTTTCTTATTTTTTATTTATCTTTTTTGAAGTTTTTCTATTCTTAAAATTTTGAGGGTATTTTTTGAGTTTATCCAAATTTCTATTTGGCTTAAATTTTTGAGGAGTTGAATCAATTCTTACAATATTTTCATCGGTATCATCCAAATGGTCCTCTTTGTCTTCTTTGTCTTCTTTTAATAATCTATTTATTTTTTTTGTTAAATTTTGGGGTGGTGCTGAATTTTGTTTTTCTTCCAATTCCTCTTCTTCTATAGCTTGTTGTTCTATAATCTTCATATCACTATCCAATGTAATTAATCTTTCTAATTCTTGATCAGAAATATCATATCTACTGCTTCTTTCTGATTTTGGAATATAATAACCAGTCTCCTCATCAAACTCTGCATCTCTATCTTTACTCTTTATCATTGCTCTAAATTTATCATGAAATTGTTTTCTAATATCTGCGTATGGATCATTTTCTCTTCTTCTAGTTTCTTCTTCATCCTCTTCTTCATCTTCTTCATCATGTTCTTCTTCACCATGTTCTTCATCCTCTTCATCAACATCATCATTTTCAATCTCTTTATAATTTTTAGTGTTGAATAAATTTGTTTTATTACTTTCAGTTTCTTCGCTTTGAACCAATGATTTTAATTTATCTTCATATCTAATGGTTTTAAATTGAGTATTATTTGATTGTTTTGGATTTGTTTTATAAATAATCTCACCCTTTTCATTAAACATATCATCCATATTCCTTTTTTCTTCATCACTTAATTCTTCATCTTCTTCACCAACAAAATCATCTTCGTAATCATCATCATCACCATCATCGTCTTGATCATCTTTGATATTACCAAAATTATTATCTTTTTGATTTCGATTTTTTTTCTTCTCCAAAAATGCTTTTAATTTAGCTTTCTTTTTATCTCTTTTATCTATAGTTTGATCGATCTTAATACTATAAAGCTCCTTTAATTCTGTTTCGGTGAGGTATCTCCATTTACCCAATTCTAAATCACCAAGTTCAACGGGACCAATTCTTGTTCTATGAATTTCAACAGCTTTATTCTCTGTAGAAGCAAACATTCTTCTAATTTGATGATATCTACCCTCGTATAATGTAACCTTTACTTTATTTTTCTCTACATCTAAAACTTGTAATTTTGCTGGTTTACATGGTATTGTCTCACCTCTTAACATCATTGTACCATTTTCAAATGCTTCTGCTTCGTCGCCAACTAATTTATCTTTTAAAACAACTTCATAATCCTTTCCACAACCGTCATCTTTAGGTGTTATAATTCTCTATTTTTAGAAAAGAAAAAAAATTAATAAAAAATAGATAATAAATAAATATTTAAAAAAAAAAAATAATAATAATAAAAAAATATACATACATCAACCAATTTACCATCTTGACTCATAACAACAAGACCAGTTACCCATTTATCTAATCTACCAGCAATTGAAAGTATTGGTTTTCTTTTAAAAAACTCTTTTGGTAAAATATCATAAATAACTTTATGATCACCGTCGTTGACAGTTGAACAAATATATCCACTTGGTTTATGAACAGCAATATGTAATGGTCCACTATTTTCAATGGGCTTTCCATCAATTTTAATATCTTTTGCATTTACTTTTGTTGATGGTGTTACTTTTTTACCTAAAACTGTAACCCTTTTCTCTCGAAGAAATTGTGGTACTCTGCCCCTCTCACAGACTCCGAGGTTTGATAATATTCTTTCAACCCTTAGTTTTCTACCAATCTCTAAAATCATTTTTTTTTTTTTTTTTTTTTTTTTTTTTTTTTTTTTTTATTATTTTATAATTATATTTTTTTGAAATATGTTATGAAAAATAAAGAATTCAAAAAAAATAAAATATAAGAAAAAAATAACGTTTTTTTGGGACTCGGGCATTTTTTTTTCAATCAAAAATTTTTTTACTTTTTTTTTTTTCGTTTTTTTTTTTTTTTTTTTTTTTTTTTTATAGCATAAATTCTCAGTTTTTTTTTTTTTTTTTTCAGTTACAATTTAACGTAAAAGTAAGCATTACAAAAACTTTTATAAATATTTTATTGAAGTGTTATTTTTTTTTTTAGCTGATGAAAACTTAGATGACGAGTCATAATTCTCTACTTGGTATACCAGTTTGATTAGGTTTCCTAATATAAACGTATATCCTTGTCAGTTGATGATCTTTGGCCCTGATTTAAAATTCAATTCACTTCTTATACACTTTTTTTTCTATACAAATTTTTTTTAAAAATAAACCCATTCCTCTCCTAACACTATTTTTTTAAAATTTTTTTTTCCCCAGATTTTCTTGAAAAAGTACCTTGTCCATCGTGTAATAGAAATTCCTTTCTTTAAAAAAATTGTCTTCTAATAATTACCTTGTAATGTTATCAAATTGCCAATAATGATAACCTTTATAATCATTTGAATTCTTGTTTTTTAATTAAATAAAAATTTAATAAAAAAAATGGTTTTTTTGAATTTTTTAAAAAAAATATATGCAAATTGTTTTGATTTGTTTATTATAAACAATTTTTTTCTTGATTTTTTTTTTTTAAAAAAAAAAAAACAATGAAAGTTTTTTATATTTTTTTTTTTTTATATTTTTTTTTCTCTTTTTTTTTTTTCTCTTTTTTTTTTTTATTTTGTTTATTTTGTTTTTTTTATAACACACACCCAATCGCTTTTTTTTTTTTTTCTATTTTTAGTTTGTGTCAGCTATCAATGTTAAAAATAATCACATTATAAAAAAATAAAAAAAATAAAAAAAAATAAAAAATACAAAAAAAAAAAATTAACATGAAATAGCCTTATCATTTTATAACAAAACAATAAATACACACCCCAATAAAAATTATTATAAAAATTTTAATTCACCCCTCTCAATATTGACTAAAGGTTTTTTTTTTTTTTTTTTTTTTTTTTGTTTTTTTAATATACTGCATAACAAAACACAATATCATACAAAAATAATAATTTTCGCATCTATTTTTTTTTTTTTTTAGATACTAAAAGTGTATTTTATATAACACCTTGTATTATAATGAAAGATAATGCACACATGGGATCAATAATCCCGTTAAACCGCCACCCACTCCAAGAACAACAACATGAACAGCAACAACACAGTAGTAGTATTGATATCAATAATAGTAATATAAATAGTATTGGTAATGAAATTATTAAAACAAAGGATGCACATAATATTACAAATAATAGTGGGACAAGTATAATAATTTCGTTATCTCCTCCACCATCACCAGCATTAAATAGTAGTTCGAGTAGTACTATTAATAGTAATAATACAACAATTAGTGGAGGCGATACTGAAAATAATAATAATAATAATAATAATAATAATAATAATAATAATAATAATAATAATAATAATAATAATAATAATAATAATAATAATAATAATAATAATAATAATAATAATAATAATAATAATAATAATAATAATAATAATAATAATAATAATAATAATAATAATAATAATAATAATAATAATAACATCAGTATTAATATTACTAATAATAGTAATAATAGTAGTAATAATAATAATATTAATAATATTAATAATAATAATAATATTAATAATAATAATAATAATAATAATAATAATAATAATAATAATAATAATAGTAATAATAATAATAAAAATACCAATAACAATACCCATACAAACGAAGATAATAATAGTGTTAGCACTAATTCTGATATAAACTCAAATGGCAATGATATTAATAATGTTAATAGTAATAATAATGGTAATAATAATAGTAACAACAATAAGAGTAATAAGAACAGTAATAATAATAAACAAATGACTCCACCCACACACAAAAATAATTTACAAGTTAATGGTATAAAGCATCAACAAAACAATGGTAGTAATAAACATAGTTTATCAAAGAGAATAAAGTCGACAACAAGTAGTAGAGTATCGATAATTGATAATATCGATATCGATATTGTTTTTAATTCATTAAAAAATTCAATCACATCAAAAAATTCATTTGTTTTAGGTGTTCACAGGCATCGTATGAGTAATATTAGCGGTATTAGTAACACCACAAATGAATCCACCACCACCACCACCACAACAAATACAACAATAGCAGACCATCAGGTTGGTAGTGTTGGTGGCACTAATAGTGGTTATTTTTTTAATGGCAATAATAATAATAATAATAATAATAATAATAATAATAATAATAATAATAATAATAATAATAATAATAATAATAATAATAATAATAATAATAATAATAATAATAATAATAATAATAATAATAATAATAATAATAATAATAATAATAATAATAATAATAATAGTAATAATAATAATAGCAATAATAATAGTAATAATAATTTATATAACCTAAATAATGGGATGATCATAGAGAGTAGCGATTTTAATAGTGACACAGTTGGTAGGGGAAGTGTATTTACTGTTTCAAACAGCGATGTAAATAGTGACAGCAATGTTGGATTAAATCAACCATCATTCAACGACCTAACCATAACCTGTGATACTCTTACAGAAACCGATGAAGAGGATCTAATGGAGAAGTTTTTAGAAGATTCAGACCCTGATATGGATGAAGAAGATGACGATGATTTCAATGAAGAGGAGTTTATGAAATTTCAAACTCAATTCCTTCATAATAAATCTCAAAATTCTTCCTTAAATATTAATAATAATAATAATAATAATAATAATAATAATAATAATAATAATAATAATAATAATAATAATAATAATAATAATAATAATAATAATAATAATAATAATAATAATAATAATAATAATAATAATAATAATAATAATAATAATAATAATAATAATAATAATAATATTAATAACATTAATAATGATAATAATAATAGTAACAATAATACGATGGCTGGTTCAACTTCTTCAGTAATATATAAAAATAATGGCAAACCACCATTAAATAACAATACCCTTCTTATTAATAATAATAACTGTAATAACAATAGCAATAGTAGTATAAAGGATGACATTAGTAGTGGCGAAGAGCCCGAAACTGATAGTGATACAGAGTTTAAGAATGATCATCACCCCACTTATCATAGTTCACCTAAAAACCAAAAATATGTAGATAAAAAACCATTTGTAAATAATAAAAATAACACCAACACCAACATCATCAAGAATAACAATAACAATAACAATAACAATAACAATAACAATAACAATAACAATAACAATAACAATAACAATAACAATAACAATAACAATAACAATAACAATAATAATAATAACAACCATACGTTCGAACAACAAAGCAATGAAGATGAAGAATCATATAGTGGAAGCTATAAGTCTAGCCAAAACTCAGTCATATATAAACCAAACTTAGTATCATCACCAAACTTCAAATCATCTTTATCATCTTCATCTTTAATTTCTGTGGGTACGAACTCACTTAAAAATTCACCATTTCCACCATCAAGTCCTACCTTATCACCTCAAACAGATGATCCCGATAGTAATAATACCAATGTCGGACAACAACCAGCGGCACTGAATGTCTCCATAGAGTCACCTCGTGCTTTTTATAATTCGGTAAACACAACCACAACAAAAGCAACACTTAATAATCAAGCCCCAAACAGTATTATAAACCCTTCAAACAGTGATAATAATGATTCATCGGATTCAATATTTTTACCACCCAAAACAATACCACCACCACCAATACCAACCAAATTATCATCGACTCCATCATCGAGTGCATCATCATTTTTATCCACATCATCATCGATATCAGTGGCTTCAAATAATTCCACCACAACATCAACCAATATATCAACCAGTAGCTCACCAAAGCATTCATCCTCTCAGAAATCAAAATCTGTTTTTTCAAAGATTATTAAAGAGGGTAAAAAAAGGTTGGCAACTAAATTTCATTCGCATCATAATAATAGTAATAATAATAATAATAATAATAATAATAATAATAATAATAATAATAATAATAATAATAATAATAATAATAGTAATAATAATAATAATAATAATAATAGTAGTAGTAATAATAATAACAATGATGAGGTGCCTGTATGTATATTTTCTATCAATTTAACTTTATTTTTTTTATTCTCTAAAATAAATATACTAACAACTTTAATTGATTTTATATTTAATAATAAAAATATTTTTTGTAAAAAGACATATATCCATATTTATAGAGGTAATGGAGATGAAAGTTGGAGAGTAAAAGTAACAAGTTCAACAACAGTTAGAGATTTATTATCAATGTCATTGACATCCACTGTAAAAGGTGAACCGCCATCATTGAAATTATATTTAACTAGTTCATTGAACTCTTGTACCTGTGTAACAAGCCCAAACAATCTATCATCGGCACCAGCGACATCATCATCCTCATCATCATCAACAACACTCGAAACCACAACTGTAATTACCTCTGCGTCACCATCGTCCTCATCATCTTATACATCAACCACTACCACAACTTCACTTAATTCGCATTTAAATCACTCGAATAACAATACCGACCGAACTAATAGTAATTGTGCTTGCAATGTAAATAAACCTGAAAAGGAATTAAATGAAGATGATAAAGTTTTAAGCGTTCAGAAAAAGTGGAGTGGTCCTTCAATTTTTATTTTAAAAAATAATTGTACAAAGTCATCAAATAATAATAATAATAATAATAATAATAATAATAATAATAATAATAATAATAATAATAATAATAATAATAATAATAATAATAATAATAATAATAATGATAATGATAATGATAATAATAATGATAATGATAATGATAATAATAATAATAATAATAATAATAATAATAATAATAATAATAATAATAATAATAATAATAATAATAATAATAATAATAATAATAATAATAATAATAATAATAATAATAATAATAATAATAATAATAATAATAATAATAATAATAATAATAATAATAATAATAATAATAATAATAATAATAACGGAACAAGATATTCAGTGGGTTCAATTACCTCTGAGTCATCCGAACACAGTAATGTTTCATATAATTCAAATAATAATAATAATCAACATCATAATGGTCAACAGCAACAGAAACAACAACAACAACAACAACAACAACAACAACAACAACAACAACAACAACAACAACAACAACAACAACAACAG